GCTTTCATTTGTATCCTGCTATCCCTCCACACTGATTCCCCCAGCCTATCTTCTAAGTCATGGAAAAATCGCTCACTGTTATGCTTCCGTTACGATGTATAACAACTGTTGCATATTCGGAACAATGATGTTGCGAGAATCATCCGCGCGATACATCCAGATATTCCAACCTGCCACTTTTCTCTCTTTTCTTTACCTGTTTTTTCCCTCATCAAATTTATTGATGAGTCTCATTTGAGATTCGATCTCAATGAACCCAAAGATTTAGATCTCTGTTATTTCTTGTTGTCATCCATCAGTTCATATCGCCTTAATTTTTTTCCCATTCTCGCTTTGTAAAGTATCGACGGAGTCCCGTTTCTTCGCCTCTCTGGGTTGCATGCTCAGAAATACGCGAGAACGCCGCATCTCCCAGCCCTCCCGCCGAGTTCCGCACCAGTTAATCCGAGCCGAACAAGCGATTTACGCCCAGCCGACGTGCCACTGAAGGTAAAGGTGAAAGCCCAGCACCACCTCCAGGAACCGCGCTGGTTATCCACGTCCTCCCACCCACCAGATCACCTCAGATCCACCGACCGCTTCACACCTTGTCCTAACCTTCGCCTCTTTTCCCCCCTCCTCCTCTTCCTCCAACCGTTTCCTCGTAAGATCGGCCGGATTTGCCGAATCCACCGTCATCTCTTTCTTCCAGAGCTCATCGAGGTATTTCCGTCTTGAATTCTTTCCTTCGTTCTCTTTTTCTCCCCAAGTGGTGCCCGTCGGGGCATGATTTGACCTGCCTCCCCTAAAGCGCCGCACCCGTCCTCTCCTCCATCTTCTTGCGCCTCTCGCCCCTTCTTGTCGCTCATCGAAACCCCCCGACTAATCTTATCGCGCACTTTTCCCTCTGGCTGTTCTATTACTCTCCTCGCTTTTGTCCCAATCTTACCCAAGATCAATAGATCCCTTAAGAAATCCCACGTACTGTGCCATACTGGTTTTTTTGTACCCCGATTGCGCTTGAAAAGCATCGATCGTTACAATATTGTCCCCATTTCGCGTCTGCTCCTGAGACAATCACACTTGTTTTTCTTCTCCCAGTGGGTAGTCATTGTTGTTCTCAATTTGCACTCGCATCAGCGCGGTATCTGACTTACATCGGTAGATTTGTGGACGCTATCTGAAGTTGGTTCGGGCATATCGACTTCTGTTCTCTATCTTATATTCGTGCTTGATTTGGAAAAGGGAATCACCCAGAGCCATTGTTTGTTGAGTTCGAAGCGCCGGTCACTTCGCCTTCTCCTCCTATCTTCCAGTACCCCATACCACCAATCCGCACGCGCGCCTCGTCTTCGATCTGTGGTGAGATATCTCGCCTCGAGACTCTGGATGCGCACTGAAACAGAATCTCACCAACGGCTTTCATAAGGGACCAACAACAAGCGAGGGTGGCCAGACTCCTCGCAGTGCCACCATGAATCAGATGAATGTGGGAATGAATCCTGGGGCCGGGGGCCCGGTTGGTGGTGTTCCTATGATGAATAACGGTTCCACGGCTCCTCGTAACGATGGAAATGTGAACAACATACCTGAGACGATGATCAACAACCTCAACACCTACATCTACGACTATTTTCTGAAACGTGGCTATCATGAATGTGCAAGGGCTCTCGTGAAAGATGAGTCGATCAAATTGAACACTGAACCCCCAACAAAAACAAGTCCGGGTCACCGTCGTGAAGACATGAATGGTGTCGAAGGCGATGCGATGATGACCGATAGCAAGGACGGTGATAAGATTAAGATTCCTGATGACCTTCCTCGACCTAATCTCGCCAGCGAAAGTCAACAATCCTCTTTCCTCTTAGATTGGTTCAGTCTGTTCTGGGATTTCTTCTGGGCTCAGCGCAAGAAAGGGAACAGCAACGACGTGAGACAGTATCTCCAACACACTCAGGTACCTCCCCGCTCCTCTTGCTCCGGATGAAATGGGTCTAATTGGTATTCGGTAGAATATGATGCGGCTAAGAGAGCAGCAACACAACCAATTCTTGCGGCAACAACCGGCGATTCCCGGACAGATGGGTCCCCTCAATATGCGCCGCAACGGCATGGTCCCTGCAAACCTTCAGAAGACCGTATTGCAGAATAACACCGGCGGACTGTACGTATCCTCTTTAGAGTCCGGCTGTCTTGCGCGAGAATCATATACTGATTGAATGTTTAAACAGTTCGCAGCAGCAAATCGCACAGCTTCAGAAAAACCAGCAGATGCACATGATGCAGCAGATGCAAAGAGAGCATTCTGACATGGACATGAACGGACACCGCCCACAATCTCCCTCGTCTGCGGAAAATGCGCCTTCGCCCTCGAAGCGGCCACGCCTCGAGAACGGTCCTATGAACGGGCAACAGTTGGCGCCCAATGGGCGGGGTCAGGGACAAGGCATGCCGGGTCAGCCGAACTCGCAAGCGCTATTGATGCAAAATGGAATCAACCCACGGGCGATGAATCCGGCTCAGTTTGCGGGTTTCCAGCAACCAGGTCCTGCTGCTCAGCAAAAATCCATCCAGGTATATGCTCAGAACTTAGCCCTTCATCACTCACGCTCAGCACTGAATAACCAGGGCATTCCGAATGGCTTAATGAACCCCGGTGTCATGCCGAACCAGACCGATCTGGTGCCTATGCCAGACGGCCAGGGTATGTATCCGATGAACGGCGACTACTACGGCGCGAATGGTCAGATGGCCCAGGTACGGGCTGGGATGCAGACACCTGGCGGTCAGCACGGTAACCATGCTCTCCAGGATTATCAAATGCAGTTGATGCTGCTTGAACAGCAGAATAAGCGGCGTCTCATGATGGCTCGTCAAGAGCAGGACAGCATGTCTCGTACTGATGGCCAGCCCCCAATGCCTGGGCAACAGGGCTTGCCTCCAGGCGCCTCTCCCCAAGGCAGCAGGGCAGGCACGTCACCAAACCCCAACGATCAGATGAAACGAGGTACGCCGAAAATGCCTCAGACTGGTCTCCCAGGATCACCAAGTGCGGCAGACGCCATGGCTCAGAACCGTGGATCGCCGGCTGCGATGAATTTCAACGGCGGCCAGATGCCTCATGACATGGCTGGCGGACAGTTCTTCATGAAGGGCATGCCGGATGCCATGGCCGGTCCGAACGGTATGCGTCCGCCGAGCTCTAATCCGGCCTTCAGCGGACCTCAAATGGGCCAGCCCATTCCGGCTGGAGCAGTCGGCCGGGTTCCGAGTGGCAATTGGCAGCAGCAACAGGGTCAACCCATGGCACCACAACAATCTCCGGCCCAGCAACCTCAATCTACTGGGACGCCTCAGACTCAGAACTCCATGCCGCCTCCTCAGGCTCCGCCGGCTGGTGTCAACACTGGTCGGGCGTCTCCTCAAACCCAGAATGCTGCTCCTCCGACACCTCAGCAGACGAGTAAACCGGCACCGAAGAAGAAAGAGCCCAAGGACACTGCACGGAAGGTATGTTTTTACATCCCAATTTTTACTAAATCGACTGTTTTTGTTTTACCTGTATTGAACGCAATTCTAGCGAACCACAAAGAAGCAACCCGCTGCCGCTGCCGCCGCCGCGAACACGGCTGCTACACCCTCCTCCGAAGCCGAACATCCTCCAACCACACCCACTCCGTCGACGCCGATCACTCCTCAGCATCCTAGCTCCTTCAACAAGGCTGGACCGAATCCGACGACTGGTGCTCCTCAGCAGCCAACATCGGCACCAGCACCTCAGCCTATTGTGCAACAACCACCCCCGGATCAGACCCAGCAGTCTTTCAATGACCTCAGCATCCCTGATGTATGATATTTCTCCATTCCTTCGTCCAGGTCCCGTTGAGCGATGGTTACTAATTCAGACAACAGGCGTCTGCGTTCAATCTTGATTTCAGCGCTCTAGAGAACCCCGATATCCTTGAGAACTTCGACTTCGACACCTTCCTCAACACTGATGCGGATACTGCTGGATTCGGATTTGACCCAAACATCTCCTATCCAACAGATGGTGTTGAGACCGGTGCCGGAGATGGCTTATAAATGAGTCCGTCGGTTCTTCAGTTTTGAAACTCCATTATACCCTTGCTCTGTACATTTCATAAACTTTCCAAAGTTGTGCCCAACTTGTGCTATTCGGTTGCTCTGTTATTCTTCTCCTTTTCTCATTTCCTTTGTTACTTGTCTGTCGACATGATTTGGATACTTGCTGTGAGACTGGCGTTGGTCGTATTCTTCCATGCATATCCCTTCCTTTTTTGCAGTTTATTAAGACGCCTTCCACTGTCTTTGATGGCATCTGACTCACCTGGGTATCTGTGACTATGAGCCTCCTACATTCTTCTCTTTTCCTTCTCCCACTTTACTTTCTACCTCGTTACTTAATATTTTATTCTCGTGAGTTTCCGAATGGGCAGCAAGTTATAACTAAACATAAATCCTCTTTGTCCCTTGAGAATCTATTAAGATTCTCTGCTCAAAATGTGCCTTTCTTCTATCCCCTTTACTGTTCTCTTACCCTGCTTATCTTGAGCTTCTTTCTTTGGTTGTCTCCTGTTTTGGCTCCAGTCAGTGGCTCCTGTACGTTGCGGCGTTACGTGATGAGACCCTAGTCAAGGAGAGGATTCTCTCCGGAAATGGCTTATGAATTGAGGAAGTTGCAGACCTTCAAACATCTATTCTCCTAGTCGGTTTCTCTGCCTTTACTGATCCTGGAAGGCTTTTTGCGGAGAATCGCAGATGTAGTTTCCTAATAGTATTTTCCTTTCCTTAGCCAGCAATTCAGGAAGAAAGCTGCGTCCTTCTGGAGGGTGTTATCCACTTCCTAACAATTCTGACGATAGCTGTGGTGGCAGCACTATCATCCGCTTGCTTTTCATAACTCTATCTTGAACTAGGACTTTGCCAGCCCTTGCTAGGCTAGACACAGCTCAGAGAATGCTCAGGCCGAGTGCTGTCAAGAAAGTGCATTGCACAAGGTAATGGAGGTAGGGCTTGCGGCAGATGGCCTTTAACAAACCAGTTGATGGTAGCAGGTCCTAGAACACTGGAATGCTTGGGAAGTCACCGACCTCCTAGCCCAGTTCAAAGAATGCTGCGACCTGGCCGTCCTGCTGGTCCTGAGCAATGGGACCCCAGAGGACTCCTTTAACTTTTTCAATGTTCATATCATGACTGTTGTCCACGCGTTGCGAGTATTATGGCATTACTTCCTCATGGACTGCCATGTCTCCATCTTGAAACAGTATGCGCTCTTTGGAATCATGACCTATATCTACCAGTTGCGGCCCCGCTTCTCCCTTAACTAGATTGAAGCCGTCAAGGTAGACGGCTGCGAGTAGAATTAGATACTCCCGTTCCATCTTCGCAAGCATAATTCATGTCCCTGTTGGATTGAACAAAAGATAGGCTTTCACAGATTGTATGGGTGGTCTAACCCACCTGTGATAGCTCACGACAGTTGGCTGTATGAAATAGCCGAATCAAGGGACCTTAGCTTGGTCATGGATTCTAGGCCTCTTGTACTACTCTACACGTCCATGCAGAAATGGTAAGATGAACAACGTGGTCTTCGTAGCTATCTCTTCTAGCTATCAGTGCCGGTCCAAGCGACTCTCACTTGGGTCTATATCCATCTCGGCTCGGAACAAAACCCGCAACACCCTGGCCGTAACCCTCCCATCCATCAAATACAGTCACATATTTGATAGCCACCTTGAGGTAAAAGTTGTTCTTGCGCCCAAAAGTCTCCTCAAAGACCTTTGGGGCCCGCACCACTTTGAAGAAATGGCCATCCAGAGCCTACTTGTGCGTCAATGCGACATCAAGGACTCCACTCCGAGATGGAGATAATCTACTTAGCGGCTAATGCTCCCCCAGTTTCTGATCCTATCACTCTCTTTTGCTGCCTCATCTTCCAAGCGAGTATCTTCCCTCACCATCTCGATGAGGTATGTAATCACTTTTTGGGCACAGGCCTCTTTGGCTTCGGACATGCTGCCTTTGGACTCTCCGATCGGACTTGCACGACGCAGGAAGGGGTCATTATTGAAATACGCAGCGGCCTTGTAATCGCCTTCCCTCCAATGGCCGTTGCTCCTCTCAATCCGCAATTCTGGAGTTTCTAGAGAGAGGAGTTGACATATTCCTATTCCCAAAAAGTCAGTGTGAGGACAAGCAGTAGTAGAAGGGAGAGGTGGAGTGAAATAGCAATGACGATGAGACCTTACTCTGAAGTTTTCCTGTGTGTGTCTCCCAGCCCCTCTCCAATTCTGACTTGAGCTCCCGATAGCTGACGCTCCATCTCTTTTCTACGTTTTCCTCGTGCTCTTCAACTGGTGCCAACCTAGCGTTGCCCGCCAAGGGTAAAAGGTTGGCGTTGACTCTCTCAGAGCTGCTTTTGAACCCTCGCTTTTTGGCTTGGCCTTTGTTGGCATGCTCCTCACCAAGCCTTTTGCGGGGACCTTTTGAACTATCGTTCCCGTTGCTTATACCCGCTTCGAATGTTTCTCTGGGGACCACGATTAATAGGCCCTCGTCGAAATTGCGTAGCGCGGCCGCTCCGCTGATGCCGTCCGGCGGAAGTTGACCAAACGTCAGAAGCGCATACAGGGTCATTTGGGCAGCGGAATTCCTTGAGTTCCACTCCTGAGTATAATGCTTGAGCACTCCAAAGCGTGAAAAGTTGGCTACTTGAGCCTCATGGCGACATCCTTGCTTGTGATTGTACTTGGTATATGTTGGTTCCGGCAAACCATTCTGAATGCAGTAATCTGTCAAATCAGGTCATTAGCTATCATCACAACGTGAGGATTTGTAAGATACCTTTCAAGATGTCCGTCCAATCCCACCCCATCGCTAGAGGGCAGTCCATCGGCTCAGGCGGCACCCTCCAGGTGGTGTAGCGGTTCTGCAGCTTCTCGAGGGCCTTACGGGCCATAGCGCTTTTGGCTTGGAGGGGGGTATGGAAGGTATAGTCCGACTCAAAGGTTAGCCCGTACAAAGTCAACTTGCCTTTCCAAAAGCCACGCTTTTTGCTAGAGTCACACTGAAACTTTGGAAGCAGAAGGGCCTGTATTGCCAGTACACCGAAGTAGTAAAGGACTTTGTCGATGCTAATGGTGGATATATCCAGAGAGGCCAGGGGCAGGCACTTTTCCGGGCCCTGCATTGAATTTCCGTCAGTTCGAAGCATTACTGATATTCTGATGGGATAGAGATGAAGAAGGTATCCTAGAGGATTCCTAGCTCTAGCTCGAGTGAAATAGGCTTACCTTCTGAAGTTCAAATACCACGCATGCCCGCGATGCACTAGCTGCAACTGGCACAACACTCGTTACCCCCGACATTTCGGTCTTGTCAGGGGCGATGGCATCGGAAGCAAGTAGCCCGGGAGAATTGACCTGCTCTTGTTCTCCTCGTACCACAACGGCTGAAGCCGCAAGGGCTCCTTCTGCGACGGTACGAGGAGCATTTTCGTCGGCATCTAACTCCATCTTGCAATCAGAACTAGTTGGATTAGTCTTCTCAGAGACGTCAGGAGCAAGGCCCCCAGAAGGTGAAGCATTCAACAGGCCAGCTGAACTTGACGCCCACTGAGAAAACCCTCCACAAGCCTGAGGGTGACGGAACGTGAAACCAATCTGATGACTAGGTCCAGATTGATTGCTGGCTTGGTGAGGCGTACTGGAAGGAAACGAGGTGACGCCAAAGGCGAGACGATTGTTCTTCTCAGGGGAATCCATGCCGAAAGATGATTTATTGGGATGAGAAAAGAGGAGGATATGATATGGAGCGGAAGGAGAGAGACAAACACAAGTTGAGATGGACTGTAAGCATGTGGGTGAGTAAACAAACAGAAGGAGTGAATGTGTGAATACGCAGAAGGCCCCTGTAACTAATGTAGAGGCAGCAGAGATCATGCAGGTGATCTCTGCCATCTCACCTCGGGTTCCTGCTGTTTTTACATTCCTACCCTATGAGCTAATGCACTGTATCTAGCAGTAGCAGAACAGCCTGTGAGGGCTCTATAGGGAACTTGATGATGCAAACCCAGAAGGGAACAGGATGATGAGCTGATTCGGACTCGAATTAACTTGTCTGGATTGTTCTAGGAGTGCATGGATCTTCACTAGGTAACTGTCAAGTGTACAGTCTTTTGCCTTACAGACCATACGGACATGGTAATTGTATCTACTATGGAACCGTTGATGAAAGCTGGGCTGACCAATTGAGCATAACAAACACATTTCTCTGATGGAAGGTCCATCAATAATCACCTCTCTACAACACCAGTCAACCTTGTCGTCAATAATAATATAGTTAGAAGCATATATAACAATCAATGAGTGTGGATTCTTTGGAAAGCATGAGCCTGCAAACGTTGCAGACATTGCAACCCAAGCAACTCTCGAAGGATACATCACCCCTCAGCTGCTATTGACACTCAGGAGCATCATGTTGGTGGCCCGAGTTAGTCAATCTCAACTGTATCAGCAGCAGTGTCGATAATCTGAAGTTTCGCATCCAGAAAGTCATCAAAGCCTGCGTTTTGATCGTGATCTTCGACCACGGTCAAGTTCTTGGACGGACTGAGGAGCAGCGTCTCCTTTTCTGCAATGAGACTCACACCTCCACGAGCAGAACCCGTGGTAGAACGGCGTCGTCTGGACTCGATGGGTGTCTCGAAATTTCCACTTGTGCGCACGGTGAGTTTGGTAGGTGTACGGTCGACCTTGTCATTATCCCGGCGTATTATCTCGCTAGAGGCCTCATTCTCCTTATTATCCGAAGTGTTTCCCTCCTTCCTACTCCTGATCTGTGTAGTTGGACTAACGTGCAATTTGCAAGTTGCTGTAGCTTCCAGCAATCCCTCGGCAGGGAGATTGGATTTGACGCTGGAACCAGAGACGCTTCTGGATCCTGGCTGCGAAAGCTCCTTCAGAATCGATGGGCGCCTTGCAGTCTTGACACAAGACGATGAACGCTCTTCGGCAGTAGCAGAAAGCTTAGGAGCCACAGGAGGTAGTGATGATGGCGTATTCTTGGGTGCTTGAGAATTGCAGGCTAGAGGCTTTGGGGGACTGACTCCCTCGAAAAGTTGAGAATACGTTTCCTCATCAATAGGAGCAACAATGCTTGGTTGCTTGCTATGCTCGTAGCTTATACCGGTCATGTTGGATATAGCGCGGCTGCTGGATGAACTGGAAATATAATCAGGCATATACACGTCCTCCCAAGATGGTCTTGCCCCTCGATGGCGTGCAGCGGGGTCAAGGATGTGTGGATCGATGAAAGGGTCCGCTATGAGAGGTTCTTGAGTAGGCTGATATGTCCAAGTTGTTTCCCTGTTGCTATTTTGCCACTGAGGTGGGGGAGGTGGTGGATAATTCCTATACGGCCAAGCCGTATAAGCTGCCGGGTTACTGACTCGGTTGCTGTTGGCTACCACGCTTCGATTCTCATGTCGAGTGGGCGAGTGGGCGTGAAGGTCCTCTTCTTGCTTTGCACCGCTCATAACGCTTCCAGCATTGTATTTGAAGACGCGCTGCCCACGGGACCACATGCCAGAATTAGGCCAGGCAATGTTAGAGCACTCTAAGACTTCTGCTCTGGGATCAGCCCAGATCACTAGTTTAGAGGGAAGAGAAATCAGTCAGAAAGTACTTACGCAGAGGCGCATGCTGGAAGGAAAACGCAATTAGATCCTTGACTCTCTCGAAGGGAGGGTTGCGATTTGGCCGAGCGAATCCTTCAGCTATAACCACTCTGATCCTGCCATGCAAGTCTCCAGCTTCCCAATGTCTTTGTTCCAGAATCTCTTGGTGGAAGGGTGGGAAACGAAGGTAGTCCTGATCTCCGTTCTTATCGACATCTTTAAGGCCTGTCAGAGTACTCTCAGAAGAGGATGAGGAAGGGATTCCTACGAGAACTGAGTTCTGGATAGAAACGGAGCAATTAGTCATCTTTAATGTGTATAAGGGATGAGAAGCCGAAGTTACCAATAATATGCGGCCAGTTAGTTCTCTGCCCGAAAACACTTCCTCTATCACACATTGTAGATCAATTTAGCACATTTCTTGAGCTTAAAAGGGTTGTAACAGATGAATGGACTTACGAAACACATAATCCATCAATGAAGATCCGAATCTCGAATAGCAAGGCGTCATCTGGTTGCATCAGACTCTCCATTAAAAGGCTAGGACGAGGTTTGTCCCAGCTGTGAACAGACACTCGAAACGGGGTATTCTGAGGCAAACTCGGGATGAAAGTCGTGAGGACTGGCAGTTGGACTACAGAAGCTCGCGGC